ACTATTAAACACATACATTATTATCTTTTCTTAAAAATGTTAAGCTGAAGACTTGACTGAAAAATGTGTAGGACAGATGGTGCAAATGAAAGCACCATCCATATCTTCTCACCAGTTAGATGGAAATCCCCTACTTTCTAAACAAGGACGTTTAAGCTGAAAATGGCAAGGGATAAATGATACGGCTCTTTGAGGAGCAGAGCCAGATTTTACAGGGTGGCATCAGAAAAAAAAGAAGAAAAAAAAAGCACACAGTAGGTTCACAAGAGAGACCAAGTAGTCTTTAATCCCGTTCTGCTTGAGCTCATTTCAATGACAATCTCCAGCGATGAAGACTCTAATCAGAGAATTTTAAAGCTGTAATTTAAACCAGCATTTCCCCCTCTTCCTTTAAGACGTTTATTTCCCCTGATGCCGGCCCCTCTGAACTCTGATAATAGATGATGCGATGAGTGAGACAGGAACTGAGCTTTAAGTCCTGCTGAAGCTGAAAAAAATCACTGAAAAGGCCAGAACGGGACTGAGAGATGTGGAATATGCAATGAGACTATTCTCTGACCAAATTCAATTTTTATCAAGCCATCTCTTCATCTCAGAAGCTGTATTTACAGTATATCGCCAGTTTCCTATAAATACATTTTTTTTTTGTGCATCTTATTAGTGAATTATTTTTGGGGGGCATTCTTTTTTTTGCCTTTTATCATGATTAGACAGTATGTAGAAAAGCGAACTGTAGATAGATAGATAGATAGATGGATGGATGGATGGATGGATGGATGGATGGATGGATGGATGGATGGATAGATGGATAGATGGATAGATGGATAGATGGATAGATGGATAGATGGATAGATAGATAGATAGATAGATAGATAGATAGATAGATAGATAGATAGATAGATAGATAGATAGATAGATAGATAGATAGATAGATAGATAGATAGACAGAAAATCTACAATCGGAGACTCGAACTCAGGTCACCTGAAGCGCAACTGCGCAATACGTCAATGTCAGACTTTCTGCAAGGCCTTCAATACATTAACCACACCTTTAATTATAATAATGTTGGAAATATTCTAGATAAGTATTAACCTTTTTATACCAAAAAACAACGAGCTGTGGGAGTGAGCATTTTTTCTTAAATGCAACCAACAAATGGTTTTGTAAAAGCAATCTACAGTTACATGACATCAAATGTAGGTCCTCTGCTAGAGGACCTGAACCTGAACCCATGTTCTCACTCTCTTTTTCACTTCTCACTCACTCTAGACACAGGTCCAAAGCAGGAAAGTGAATTTAACAGCCCTTTCTGCACTCTCACAGCCTGTCAAAGGCATTCAGTCTAGACACGCTTGCAACATCCATGACATCATCGGCCTGAGCTGGAGCATTTGGACCTGGCTAAATCTTCACACTTCTGTTTTCAACAAAAGTCACTGATTTCTGCTTGTCAGCAAAAAAAAAAAAAAAATACTTGCTATACCACTGTCGAGAAGCAGAAATTTTAGATGTATATATATATATATATATATATATATATATATAAAAACCCCACCAGCCTCAAAAGCACACATGGATCCATAAAGGATTGCACAATCCTTTTTGAACCTGATGATGCAATAGTGTTTAACATTTTACGAGTCCCAAATAGGCACATCTCACGGGTCCATCTGCAAATAAAACCAGACGCGTCGAGGGAGACACGTTTGCAGGGAAAAAGTTGGGATGGAGCTGTACATTTTGTCCATTCTGTTATGCAATCGTAATGCTGCCATTTTTATGGGCATTTTGAAAAAATGTGCTGAGGACGAACGCCAAGAAATGCAGGATGCATTTTTCCTTTTTATGTTTTCTCCTTACTGACGCGGAACGCAGGGTCTTCACGGGGTCTTAAACGCTCTGGCCAAGCATTTACATGAATCAGCCTGTAGAGAGGCTCCATTGCACTCCGGCCAGCTCATTACCGGGAACTTTTAGACAGGTAATGTTGTTCCGTCACAGTAAATCTCATACTAAAGGTGTGACAGATTTGTGGAAGTGGGCTAACATGAGCTACACATACAGTATCATTGCCATATAAGAAGTCAACATCCAAACATGGTCGATGTAAACACAGGGCTTCAAGACCATTCAATTTACCTGAACATAATTAACTGTTGCTAGACTGTGAATAGGCAATGAGATCATGTTACAAGCCTTTCCGCTCTTAAAGTCTCCCCAAGAATTCCAGTCACTGCAACCAATTTTGTTTTTAGTCTGTGCCTTGGTTTCCTGCAAGATAATGTCTAGCTGGTTGCATGCTCAGATGTGCTGTCAGGGTCTTTAGGAGGAACTGAAGGTGAGAGAGGAAATAGCAGCAGAGGCCGGGTGCAGCCGCCCCGGCACAATTATTCCTGTAAATAAGCAGCAGTAGGTGTCTGGAATGTGTCAGCCCACGGGCTCGGACTGGACAACCAGAGTACGACCTCACCTACCGCGCACACACAGTGAGGGCCTGTCCTTAGCATACTTTCTCAGTAAGTTTCTCATAACCTGTGACTGTGTGCAAACACACTGATGGCTATGACAGTCTCGTAGGGGTCCTGCACGGATCTATTTATTCTATCATGGAATAACACTTATGGGAAGTCACTGTCAGCTTTCTTTCCAGCTGTAATTGGCAAAAGTACCAGTATGGTGAGGCTAAGATAGGGCTTTCATGACGTCTTCTAAAGAAGCCTGTAGTAAGCCATCCATAGATATACAGTAGATGGAAATCTAGTGCAGACCCGCACTGAGCGAACTGTCATCATAGATTCACAGTACACTGGAGCAGAATGGATGTATGCCACAATCTCTTAGACAGGAGCAGAACATTTGTGTCGAAGCGATTGTGGTGTTCTGTTCTTGGGTGTTATAACGAACACAACAGTCATTTTGTTCCTAAATCCAAACCGCTGAAGACGCAGTGGCTGAGTTTTATTTTCGAAGGGAATATTCCCCACGATCAAAGTCAATGTGTTCATGTTTGCACGAATCATTTCTCAACAGACTGCTTTATAAACGAGGGTCAGTATAAAGCTGGTTTTGCTAAGAACCAGCTCCTGAAAAAAGAATCGGTAGCAACTATTTATGTTCCCTCTGACGTATACATCAGTAAACACATAGCGTTCGTATCTCACTACTCGACCCTGCCAGTATATACAAAAATAGATCAAAGTGACATGTTAACCAACCATTCAGAAACGTCCTGTTCGAGCCTTAATTGTCGAACTTCTTTGCGGCCGCCATCTTGTTCCGGGTCTGACTCCGGTTCAAACTGATACGGTTGCACAGATGTGTCCTCAAAGACTACCGCTGCCATTCTCTCTCCAAAATATCCCTCAACTGTTGTCAAGGCAACAGTCCACGCGCATTGTGTCACAACGCCAGCAGAACAGAGGGGCGGAGTGAGCGAAGTTCATTATCATTTAAATACATATGCACTGAAACGGCATGTTTGACCAAGTAAAATTAGTGTTTTCTTAAAATACTAATGCATTTTTAATTAAAGTATATTACAAAGTTTTAATTTAGACCCTAAAAATTCACATTAATTTGTACAAAAATGTCATTATATGACCCCTTTAAGAACAAATTCTTCCTCATTTTGACTTGTTATGGGACATTTTTGCACCATCCATGTTTGATCAGGCTTACATTTGGACTGAGCATATATCTACCATGTTATAGCTAAATCGACACTGGTCACATATTTCTGCCATTGCATAGTATATACTGGTATGTGCCACTCAGTCCTATTACACTTAAAATAAACTGACATCATACAAATCCAAAAGCCCATGTTTAATGTGAAATGTAGGCCTCCAAAAATATCAAATCTCAGTTGTTAAATAAAGCAAGTGTGGGTCATTTCACGCACCTCTTAACCAACATCAGCTGACACGAGGAGCCTGTGCCATTGTCCTGCCAAAGTGAATCTATATCCGGGTTCTTACAGCAATATTTTTTAAACTCTGTGTTTTTTTCTACTGTACTGTTTTAGAAATGTATTTAATACACTGAGCTGTAGATAAACACAAACACAGCTGAGTGTGTGATTAGTCAGTGTGCTCATTATGTGTATGTAGTTATTTCAGGTTATGGGTGGATACGCTGTCCCAGAGGGGACTGGTGAGTCAATGACAGGACATATCCACAATCTATCCCTTAGTCAGAGGACTTAGTCACAGCCTACTGAGTAGTACACACCCAGTCTACATCTACACACACTCAGAAACACACTACGGACTCAGCACCAGTACAGATTATTCGATCAGTAAGGTTTGTGTACTTACGCTGACATATTGTGCCGAGGCTCTCATACAGTAATTTTCTTATTATTCTCTTGAGAAAAACTAAATGTTTAAGAAGACTTAAGAAGAATTCAAATTCTTGAAAGGAATCTTTTTCAAAATCATTGTAATCATTGACAAGATAATCTTGATTTAAATCTCCAAAGTTAAGAATAAGAAAAGAAAGTGTGCATGCTTATTAGGATTCTTATGATAATCTGCAGGCAGCACAAAAAGGCCACCTTTGAGGTGATTTTTATTGAGTTGATCGGCGAGTCTTCATCAAGAACCGCTCTACAAGCAGATAACATCAAAGCCTGTAATTTTCTTCTTAAGAAAAAATTGTTAAGAAATGATTTCCGAACTTCTTAAGAACTTTTCAATATTTTTTTTACAAAACTTCTTTGAGTTTTTTTTAACTTCTTTCTTAAGAAGATTTTCTTGAATCTGGCCCCTGATCCAATTCCCCACACGATTTCCTGTCCTATTTAAACTGCAATACAAACACATGATTTAACTGACAACCCCAAGTTCACCTAATTCATCTATAACAGAGACCTTACCATCTCAGTCCCTCTAACCAGTGTCATCAGTCTTGGTTTCCTCATCATTTCATCACGTAACAGATATACCAAGCACAAACAAATTGTGAGCTGGCTAATGTAGTCCAATTGTTTCATGCTTACATATTATGCTTTTGCCAGGAGTGCTGGTGAGGTCTGGTTGGGACAGGCTGTTGTTGTTGTTGCCATTCTCCACATCTCCTGTCTTTTCCATGGGTGGAGTGTTTGAATTCTGTGCTGTCTGCTCACCGGTTTCATTCCCTTCTGAGGCCAAAAAACACAAACACAGAGGAGAGAGAATGAAAATAAGTTACACAGAGATTACACAAAGCATTGCTTTCAGATTCATTTTTAAAGTATCTCGCTGCAACAACAGTACAATATGGATGCTCAGTTTGTGTTTATATTTGCATCAGCTATTTTGCTAGATCATCAGTTGGTGTGCTGTGCTCACGTATCTGTGAAAGTGCATTCATGTGGTCAGCAGCATGTGTTTGTGTGTGTGTTTTATAAGTTAGCGCTGGAGCCAAGTGGTCTTATTATGTGGCCTAGTAATTATACAGGACTGTCTGAGAAGGCTAGAGCAGCATGACATCAAAGAGGGTCAGGACTGGGTCTTAGCGAGCAGAAGCGCTGTGTTTAGCTGTGTTGAGTACAACTGAGCTAGCTGCTCCTTCCTGGCCTCTGTCCCATACCTACCCAAATGGAAGCCAGCTGGGCTTTACTGGCTGTCTGATAAACACACAGCATCTCTTGTGGAACATCAGTCCATTGCTCTGTTTATTTCCTTTAGTGACTCTTTGCCTTTTATCTTGGCAGACTCCAGTTTCTAACTGTTTGTGTGATTCTGTTGAGGGATTTTTATTCCTTTTTTCCTTATCTCGTAATTTTGTGGACAAAAGGATTGCTTTTTAGAGAAATGACCTTAGCAGGGATGAGTCTAGATGGCATATTAGTTGATTAGTCATTCAATGAAAGACCATTAAGCAATTTGCATGGTAAAACACTCTCAGAAAAGTTACATCTTTTTATCTCCATAGCAGGTACAGCATTCAACTGGACGTCTTAGGAAAATGTACTGTAAACGTACCTTGAGAAACATCTGTCCAGGATCAGGTGAACCCAAATAAGACCAATTAGTTATTCAGACAATAGACTATTAGACCACAGACTAGTCGATTTTCAAAAAATATGTCGTTTTTAAAAATAAGATAAAAGTTCCCTAGACCTTAATGAGAAAGAGGGCCAGAATGAGAGAGAAATAAAAGAGAGTTTGAGTAGAAGGAATATTGACCTATCACCATCAGACAAATCAAGCTGCTGACAGCGTCGTAACCAGATGGCCTTATATATTTTCTCTTCTAAACTCTTTCACCTCTGAGCACTAGCAGGCAAACTAAGACGACTCATGAGGGGCTTACCCCCCACCCCCCATTTCCTTAACCAAAACTTCAACAACAGACAAATTGTCAGGGTCTGAGCTCATAGCTCACAGAAACGTCAACATTCTCTCCTCCTCAACAACAAATAAAAGTGTTTGCAACACTTCATGCTTCACTTCAGCAGCAGAAATATCCCCTGATACTTTGCCTACTGAGGTCTGAAAGCATCCTGTGGTGCTGTGCAGACCCCAAGGTCTTATATCCTGTATGTGTTGTGTAGTAATAATGGAGCTGGAATCGGTAAGTTCACATCTGGAACCAGCTGCTGACGGAGCAGAAAAAGTCACAATAACAGCAGCAATAGTCTCAAAAATTAACCTCTAACCACAGCAGAGAATGTGTGAGCCTAAAAAAGAACTTTGAGAAAAACACATATCTAATGTAATGACTTATCTCATGCTCAGTCAATATATCAGTGGCGAGCGGTGACTTTTTTTAACCGGGTATGCTTTATGTCAAAAATGAACCTGGTGCAGATACGTTGGATAGGTTTTGCTTAGGCTTAGGCTAGGACACATAGCAACAAAGCTAAAGTTTTATTTATAATATATTAATATTTTTGACCTTTGAATAAAAGTAGCCATTTATGTGTTGATGCCTTTACAGGCACCCGTAAAAGCAGTTGAGTTGTGTTTGATTTGAGTCAGGCGCAATGCATCTAAATCAGAGTAGACAAATAAGAAACACCATGGCAGGCGTCAATTTAAATGTATGCCAGAAGTGATTTTTTATTGATTTAAAAAATAAGTATAAAGAAATCAATATTAGAAGCCTATTATAATTTAAATATAATTAGAATAAATGTATGTAGCTATAATAAAATATAAAAAATAATATAAATAAAAGTAGGCTATTCTTTAAAAAAAATGTTGAAATAATGCAAACTGATGACTTTAGCAAACACATAAGAGTTATAGACTACGATTAACAGCCTCAGATAGTTACACTACTACAGTACCTTACACTACTATCTTCCACAGTTTATAAGTTTCCATTAACAATATATTTCCTTATAGATAAAACGAACTACTATGAAAATAGTATCAGTTATCACACTTTTCCACTTGATTTAGTCTATTTAGTTTTGTATCAAATACAATGTGACTTTCGTGATTGAGATCTGGCAACAGCAGCACATTTTTCTAGCCTGGATGCCAGCCGAACTTAGCCCCGCCCACAAAATTTTAAGGTCGGGAATTCCAAAAGCGTAAACCACCAGCCGGAAACTGAAGCTTTGCTTGGGAGCCGCCATTGTAGCATCACCTGCTATTAGCATTCCATTGATGTGATTTGACAGCGAATAACTTTACATCGGTGGCGTCAAAAGTCTCCATTTGTCCATTATTTATTTTTTAAGAAACAGGACAATGGATAAAATACTCCATTACTTGTATCTTACGTTGTGGCCCCATAGAAGCCGTTTTTTTGTAAAAAAAAATAGGCTAACGATTGCGTCATAACTACGGGACTCTCTGTCACACAATAGAGAAATTACCATATAGACAGGAGGAGAAGCTCGTTGGCAATCTTTTATTGTCTATGAGGCAATCGGGTGGCATAAAGTCAAGGGAGAAGCCCATAGATAGAGAATTCATCAAAGCAATGGGACTAAATATTTCAACAACAGATTTGTTTCAGATTTTAATTCAGATAGATTTGTCTCGGCATAAGGTCAGAACGGTCAGAAAGGTCACATCTACTTCATCGAACTCAGTTTGAGCCTGTGCAGTACGCTTGGCTATCAGGAAGTAAGTGCTTGTAATGGGCTTCAACTTTCTCCGTTGAAATCTATGGTGTCGCTGCGTCCTTGCTTTTTTTTTTTACTGTCTATGGGAAATTCGATCTGGACTTGATCCGTTGGGAGGCAAGTATGGCCGAAGCAAAGCTGTTCGGACTTCGGACCACTCAAATTGTCAGGGCAGGCTTTATACAATGATGGACAGGCATAATGCAATCATCCATGTCATCAAAGAGCGTTTGGGTTAAATTAGTTTAAAACAAAGAATAGCTGCCGCTGGAGAATTTAGATGTAGATTCAGCCATCGCATCTGTTATAGAAAATGTAGACAGCACATTTATTTTAAAAGAGGAACAGTATTTATTTAAGTACCATATTTATGGCACATAAATATATGATGGAGAGTTCCATACGTATAATTGCCTACATTTTATCATGTAAGCTTTATGGTTCACCTCGAATAAGGGAATTTATAGTAATTTATAATGTTAATGTTAATTAGCAAGTCTATGAATGTCTTGGGTATGCAGAGCATTCACAGCTTATATGGACCACTGCAATATTTATACTGTATATAATTACAGACAGGTGATCAAAACAGTAACAAGAGTTTTCTTGTGTATCAGGAAGAGGTTTACTGTGCAATATCGAAGATCGAAAAAATAAAATAAAATAAAAATGCTGATAAAATTGTGCAAATAAACTTGTTTTAGTTCTGAGGGAGAAAAAAAAGACCACAGAGTAATAAGAAAGTCAGCAGTTTAGCATTGTACAAAAATATTTGGCCATTGAATGCTGTGATTAACCAATCTGAATCACATTATTCCAGAAAGCTGTGTTATAATACACATTCAGTTTATTAGAGGAAAGCATTACAGAGACCTAGAAAGAGAAAAATGAGAGAGTGAAACCTGCAGGGTTCAGAGAGTTTATAAGCTGTTGTGGGTGAGTGTGAGAGCAGAGCTGGGGCTGTGGACAGACAGGGATCACGTTTATGAACCATTTTAGCTTTAAAACACAGACCACTGAAGCCTGCCTCGGTAATGCTGCTGAACAGAAGTCTGCCTTTATACCTCTGTGGCACTAAAGTGTGCGTCAGCTACTTTTCTTCTCCCATTGCTGTGGATCACTGAGCATTAGCAACTGGAACCCAGCCGTTATCAAAGGCAGAGCTTTAATTCCTCATCATAATCAAGCCGTACAGCAGGCAGGGGAGATTTACAGTGCAGGCATCATAGTTTCAGCTAAACCTTCCACATTATGTGGCTGAAGCAATGAGGAATTTCAAGAACCTGTTCTTAATGATCTCAGCAATTACGCCACGTTTGCAAAAGCCTTTCTGAATCAGATCTCTGGGTTAACAATCTAGTGCTTTAGACATGCAAGTTGTTTTAAGCTGGCCAAGTAGATACAAAAAAAAATTTAAATAAAAGTGTAAAATGTAATGAGTTATTGTGTGTATATAGGACATTACTTGTACACACAACATGTGTGGACCCGAGAGGCAGAAAATGTGTGGAAATTTTACTTGACTTGTAAACAGGGCTCATGCATTTGCCAGTAAACAACACAAGAACATAGGAATAAAAATATAGTATGTGAGTAATGGTCATATAGACTTTATGGCATTCAAGGCATTGCGCTACATGGAATGTTTGCTGCTGTGGGGGGGAAGCCCACCTAAATTTTATAGCACTTTTCCCACGACAACACGAAAGAAGTGTCTTGTGGTAAAGACTGCTTGGAAAATGGACTTCAGCATCCTATTGGTACAATCTTAGTCAAGTTTCACAACAATATTCTGCATTGCAATGTCACATGTGATTTTTTTTTTAAATGGATAGTTTACTGAAAAATGAAAAATTCCATCATTCATGACAAACCGGTCTTTTTTTTTCTTTGGAACACAATCGATGATGTTCTGTTTAGTGTCACTAAACAGAATTGCAAAATAATGATGATTTCACATTTCACATCCCAAACTCACGTTGAGCCATTGAGTCTGGACACTTTTTTTTCGTTAAGTCTCGAATCTCTTTTGGTTCTGTGCACTGGTTCCGCTTTTTCATTACCCTTCAAATTGC